AAGATGTTAAGTACTTCTGCCTTTTCCCTGTCCCCTGTTAGAATTTCTCCATTTTCTCTGTGAAGTGGTCCTACCATTTCCTTCTTTCTTTTGCTACAGACATACCCAAAAAAAAACCCTTTTTATTGTCCTTAACCCCTCTAGCAAGCCTGAACTCATTCTGTGCTTTGGCTTTCCTGACTTTACCCTTACATGTGCTAGCTATTTGTTTGAATTCCTCTTTAGTGATTTCGCTGCTTTTCTGTTTCTTATACATCTCTCATTTAAAACTTAGTTCAGTTGAAAGTTCTTTTGTCATCCAACCGGGTTTCTTGAGACATCTCCCATTTTTCCTTCTCATTGGAACAGTTTGAGATTGTGCCTTCAGTATCTCCCTTTTGAGAAATTCCCTTCTCCTTTAGTATTCCTAACCACTCACTCCCAGTCTTTCCCTAAGTTTGTTGAAATCAGCTCTCCTAAAGCCTGGAATGAGTGTTTTATTACGCCTAGCTTCTCCTTTCCATTGTATAAGAAACTTCAGGAGAATATGATCACTCCCACTTAAGGATCCCACCATTTGCACCCCATTTACCAGGTCATCCCTGTTGGTTAGGATCAGGTTTAAAACAGCTGATCCCCTTGTAGCCTCTTCCACCTTTTGGACAAAGAAATTGTCTTCGAGGCACGTGAGGAATTTGCTAGACCTTGAAGTATTGGAAGTTTGACTTCCAGCAAATATCTGGATAGTTGAAGTCACCCATCAGTACTACATCTCTCCTTTCTGAGTGTGTGGTCATCTGTTCTAGAACAGCATCATTCAATTCCTCAGTCTGACTTGGGGACATTTCTACAGATCTGTCCAAGATATACTGCATGTATAGTCCTTAGTTACAAATGGGGGATTGGACTGACTGTTGTACAGGAGGAGAATGCATTTGCATCACTGGTTGGGTACATTCTCATTCAGTACTTCCAGCATAGCCATGCTGGCATAATTTGACATTCCACAACATGTGTACAGGATCTCACTCACTGTGTTAGAATTGCTGTTGTTGCATGCTTTCAAGCCATTTCTGACTTATGAACTCCCTAAGGCAAACCTATCACAGGATTGTATTTGTAAGATTTATTTAAAGAAGGGGTTGTCATTGACTTCTCCTGAGGCTGAGAGAGTGTGATTTACCCAAGGTCATCCAGTGGGTTTCCATGGCCAATCAGGAAACTGAATCCTGGTCTCCCAGTGTCCTAGTCCAATATGCAAACCACTACACCACACTGGCTCAACTAGAATCATTTGCTGTTGTGTGCCTTCAAGTTGTTTCCACCTTGTGGGGACCCCAGTGTAAACCTATCACAAGGGTTTATGATTTGTTCATAGGGGATTTGCCTTTGCCTTTCTCTAATGCTGAGAGAATGTGACATGATCAAGATCACCCAGTAGATTTCCATGGCCAAGTGAGGGTTTGAACCCTGGTCTCCAGAGTTGTAGTCCAACACTCAAACCACTACACTGTACTGGGCCTCTATAGAATCATTTATTTAGATTGAAATTAGTGATTGCAGTTACAGGGCATTCTACTGTACATTTCAAGAACTATGGGAGCATCTCTTGACCCGCCATTTCAACTCTGGCTCCAGCCCCACCCAAGCCATTATTTTGCACCTTGCTCCAGTGGGTGAAACACAGAGTTCCAATGGCACTGGGGACAACAGCAATGCTGAATGGAAATTCAGGATGGAATCAGGGCACATCTAGCAATAATACAATTCCAAGAGCTCACTAAAGCCTGGTGCTGGCCTTGAATTTGGATCCAACTGATATTATAGGTCCAGTCTCATGGTTTCCTCTTTTGGTGCAGCTAGGACTGCTGCTCCTATTGATCCATTCATTACCTCCCTGTGTCATCTAGTTCCTCTCCCTGGGATTGACATATATATTAAAGTTCAAGTAAAGAGGTGAAAGGCTGCAAGTCTTCAAATACCCTGTTGAAGCTGCAAGGACTGGAACACTCATCCTGGGTCTATTGCAAAGTACATCCTTGACATTCAGAATAGCTACATTGCATTCTATTGTGTGCAGACTGACAAGGCCTTTGCAGACTGCCAGAAATAGTGCAAATTGAGGCCACTTTAACTGCCCTGACTGAATCATGGGAACTGTAGTTTATTGTGGCACCATAGCTCTCTGACACAGAAGACTCAATGTCTCAGAAAAAAATACAATTCCCATGATTCCCTAGCACTGAGCCAGGACAGTTAAAGTGAACTCAATTTGCACTATTTCTGGCAGTCTGCAAAGGCCCTGAATAGGAGGAAGGAAATAATCTTTCTTCTCCACTGTCATTGCTACAGATGGGTTCTAGCTTGTGTTTGGTCAGGGCCATTCCAAGTGTTTCTCCAACTGAAATGTAGCCATTTTTATTTTCAAGTTAAACACAGGCAACCTGGAAAGCACAAAGAGAAATTCCACTAGTCTGTGAAAAGTAAATACCATTGTCCCCTCCCCCTTTAAAAACAAGGCTGCTTCTTTCCAGCCTGTCTGTCTGTCTGTATCTGTCTATCTATTTATAATTTATTTGTTTAGTCACTTATTTAATCATTTAATCATAAACAAGCAGTACCCTGGAGGGCTTACAAGAAAAATAAAAGGAAATTAAAATACATAGAATAAAATAGGTTTACAATACCGCACACAGAATCATCATAAACATAAGAGATTTAAAAATGTGGTTTAAGTTAAAAGGTGTACAATTTATTTATTTATTTGTTTGAACAGCCTTTAATGATGGCTGACATTCAGATTCAGTTAAGGTAGGTACTGTCCCAGATGAGACTACTGAGCAGACCATTTCATACCAGTTTCACCCTGAGGAGACCCTTTCTCCACCTGCCTTATGATTGCACTTATGTCACCTGGTTTGGTCACCCAAAGGCGAGCCTCAGAGTACAGGTGGAAAGGGAGACAGGCAATCTTTAAGATACCCTGTTTCCAAGTCACAAATAACTCTCCACATCAAAAGTAACACTTTGAATTGGGTCTGGAAATGAAAAAAGAATCAATTGAGAAACTTACTATACTTGCTCCATCACTGGAAAAGCACTAGCACTGCTTCTGCCCAGCTTCATCCAAGCAGGTGAGGTGTCATTTATAGCTAAAAACTACCAGCAGATCTCAAACTAATTTAATATTTAATTTAATTTAACATTGGTGCTGATCCTAACTCAACACCATAATGCTATTTTAACTACAAGATTTAGAACAAAACAGAAGATTCCAACTCTTTCAAACTTATTTCATGTATGCACGTTTTTCCATCACAGGACATCAGTGCTGGTTGGAGATGTGGTATCCACCAAGCAGACCTTTGACTCTTACAGTTCTTAAAGGCATAGGAGGCAGACAGACAACCTTAGCTGCTTGCTCTGGGAACTATATGGGATCAACTTTGGAGATTATTGCACATGAAATCCACAGAAAAGTTCATGAAAAGTTGCTGGAGAAGCCCAGGTTGGATATGGGCTGCCTATTGCCCAGGCACCAGGCAATGCGACAAGATTCATTGCAGACAGTTATAACCCATGTCTATCTTAACTTGGATTTCATGTGCAATGATCACCTTTAACAGCAGAGTCCTAAGATGGTTGCTTACATAGATCAGCATGGTCAGTCATGTGATTAGTTTATACTCCAGCTTACTATGAGGAATTTCTATAGCATCTCCTATAATATGGAACTAGAAAATTCTTCTCCAATGTGTAGCTCTTCAGGTGTTAAACTACAAACCTCACCATCCTCCTCCAACATGTTATTCTGGTTGGGGATAATGGGGGCTGCAGTTCAACATATTGGGGAAATACTGACCTAAATAATTTCTGAGATCTATTTAAGCATTATTACTGTACACAGAAGTGGCAGGCTGCTCCTCACCGTTTTTGTTGTCAATATTGAACTTTTAAATACAATAGCATGAAGCATTATTGTGTGTGCACACATTTTTCTACCCTTGTCTTTGGTGTTTCCAGTGTTTCCTAGGAAATCACAGAAGTGGGAAAGCATGGTCTGATTTTTTCCCCTCCTGTGCTGCTCACTTCTGTGTTATCAATGAATCTGTGAATATACATGTGGCAAAAGAAGGTTGCATTACCCTGTCATCCTCCTTTACACCATCCCTTTTCCCTGCTTTCAGGAGCACATCCCTTCTTACAAGTGAATGGAAGGTTATTCCATGACAATCATGGCTGCATTTGTTGCGTTTTCCAATGGTGTTCTTTTGGTGACAATGCAACAAAAGGATGGATGCTTCTGATTGGAGGAAATCAAAATATAGACTGGTTATCATTTGTTTGAACTTATTTACTTACATCTAATGCTGCTAGTTTAAGAGTTGCCACCAGCTCTGAAAAGCCATTGGCACATAGGATCTACAGGACTTCATTCAAGCTGTCTCTTGATGACATGAATTCTAATGACTCCTTCCCTAGTTCAGTGAAGCTTAATCCCCATTCAAAGGGGATTAGTATTCAAATTTATCATCAAATCAAGAGTGATTAGTGGCCTAACACATACAATATGTCACTGAAGAGTCTTTGAAAGCCCAAATGGTCAGTTCTTGTTTCTGTGTGTGCCTTGTGCTGCTGTTATCCTCGCGTATATGTCTGTTGTTATTTAATTTTATAATATATTCTATCACTTTGCTGACTGCATTTATTTTGATTTCCCCTATGAAATGATTGGTATACATGCTATTGCATTCTCCCCCCCCCTTGTGTGTGTGTGTGTGTGTGTGTGTGTGTGTAAGTACAGTGTGAGACCAAAGTCTGGCTGTACTTTGTGCCATTCAGCAGCTGTATGTTAATGACCTGAAAAATTTCTACATTTTCTCCCTTGGGAGCATGTGTGTCTTCAGTCCAAGATATCTAAAGTTGCTAATGGGACACTTCAGAGAACTGGCTGGCTTTGTGAAGAAAGTCCATGATCACACAGTTTGATAGAAGGAGATCTGCTAGTAATTTATCATCAGGATGAATCTGTCTTTGAGAGGGATGCTCCTTATTTAATGGATTGAATGAGCTTTCCATCAGAGAAGGGAGGAATAGAGGAGAGAAGGACTGGCTATTAACATGCTCTTCAGGTTTGAAATGAAGCTGAAAATTTGCTGACAACTTAAAACAGAATAATATTTTAACAATGTAGATGCCACTCATCATTTCTATTCTCACAGTTGTACTTCCAAACCTAAAATTTGCATCTACTTTGTTAAGATCCCATACGGTTTTGAGAGCTGAGATATTTACATTTCCCTACTATCATTCCATCCTCATCAACATGGAAAATAGTGGAGGTTGTTTCTCAACACTTGAGAGTTCAGGAATCTGCTCTTTCTGTATACTTTAGAAAGGGGGTTATGATACTTTTAAAGTATATGTTCCAGTTTACATAATTATAATCCAACTGATGTCTCATGAATTGGTTTCTTATGGTTTATGGAAATCTCTTTGCACTGCAGTATTTTAATTGTTCTATCATGATTTGAAATAATTTTATGATTTTTTAATAAAAAGTATTGCTGTTTTAATATGGTATTTTATTTACTTATGTTTTAATTTTTTTATTATCGCATTCTAATTCACACACCTTGTTTTAACTCATGTGAAAGTTGCCTTGGATCCATTCAGGAGACAGGTGGGATATAAATTATATAAACAGATAATAATGAATGTCTGGCATGTTTGTGTATGTGGTCTAAATAAGGCATGAGTAATGTACAGCATTACTCATTAACATTAACAACATCAGATATACAGATGAGACAATACTACTAGTGGAAACAAGCAAAGATCTGGGGCAATTACAGAAGAAAATCATGGAGGAAAGTGCCAAGGTCAGACTAATACTAAACTTTTTTCAAAAAAGTGACCACAGAAGATCTGCAAGAATTCATCCTAGACAATAAGAAAATTGAAATAGTCAAAGATTTTCTATACCTTGGTTCAAATATAGATCAGAATGGAGACTGTAGTTGAGAAATCAGAAGAAGACTACAATTGGGGAGAGCTGCTATGAAAGAACTGGACAATATCATAAAATATAAGAACATAACTCTGAACACTAAAGTGAGGATCATCCAAGCAATAGTATTTCCTATCAGCATGTAGGATGTGAGAGTTGGACAGTGAAAAATGCCAATAGGAAGAAAATCGATTCATTTGAAATGTGGTGCTGAAGAAGAGTACTAAGAATACCATGGTCAGCCAAAACAAACAAATAAATGGATTCTAGAACAGATCAAGTCTGAACTCTCTCTGGAAGCCAAGATGACCAAACTGAGGCTTTTGTATCTTGGCTGCATCATGAGGAAAAATGAATTACAAAAAGACAATGATGCTAGGAAAGGTTAAAAGCAAGGGAAAAAGTGGAAAACTGCATACTAGATGGATGGACTCTCTTTAGGAGATCACAGGTATGAATTTGCAGGAACCAAACAAAGCAGTGGAGGTTAGGGAGTCTTGGAAATGTCTCAT